TACTGGGGCTATAATGTTTCGACATTACCAATGTGTTTTCTGCCAACTCTTAACAACCCAACCAAAGTTATAAAAAGTCTTCAGGCTGTGTTTTTGTGTTGTTTGAATGAACTAATGATTGCTTTGTACTTTTTGAATGCTTGATTTCGAATTCAAAATACAATGCATTCCTTAGTGCTTGTGTAGTACTTCTTGATTCAATTGCGTTATTTCTGGAATTCTTAGTTAGTACTATAATTCAAATACTCCTAATTATCATCGTTTTCTCACCACTGTGACTATATGAATGGTTCCTCCACTCTCCCATTTTGTCAGGACATTCTGTATCTCTACGTCTGTTGTTTCTCCGAACTCCACAAAGAGAATTGGGTTCATGGCTTTCAAAGGTTTCCAAGTCTTAGCATAAGGAAAGATAACTTTTTTCAATGAAGACTCTTCAACTCTCAGGATAGAGTTTCAAATTGTTCCAATGGTTCTTTCTGGTTGTGTTTTAGCGAGACACCTTTTAAGGAGGCGGAGCGAATGATCTTAACTTCACCTCCTTCCTTCACTTGGGCTTGCGATCGGTGGTAACCCCTGAGGGATTTTAGGCACAGTTTATAATCTTGTTTAGCTCAGCATCATTCTGAAGTTGGTCCGACAGAATCTTATAATTTTGACGACACGTTTTCCAGAATGCCGGATGGATCGTTTAATAAGAACAGAGTATAGCAACAGAAACGATAAAGCAGACGTAAAGGTGGGTGGGACTGCTAAGTATAACTTTATATAGATTATGAGATACCGGTAATATTGTGGCTGATTGAGAATTTACTTTGCTAATTAAGTTTATTAACGCTAAGAAAACCAAGATTAAACTGAAAACGTGTGTAAATTTTTATTTTAGGGAATATTAACTACCACACATGTCATTGAACTCAACTATCCTTGCTTTTGTGTAAATGTTGCATCGAAAGTATTCTTGGTCTATATTAAAGTACTTTATTTAAGGTTTTAAATCTTGCTAAGGTTTTTCTTGTGGTACATTTTTACTGATTGACTGACGCTTGTGTTCATACTGTGACCATATTGTATTTTACACCATAATCTGACTAAAATGGTTGGTAGTACTGATAAATGTCGACAACCACACTGTTTATTCCCGGTGGAGGAAGGAATGCAGTGTGATGAATGCAAAAGATGGTTCCATTAGATGTGAACCCGTTTAAATACCACTGTACACAAAAGATGTTCGAAGCCTTACTCACATTGTCTCTGCATGTTTATCTGTGCAAATAAAACGTTACTAATACAGTAGGCTATGAGCCTATTGGCTTTGGCCTGTAGGAAGAACGATGGCACATGCGCTGATAGCACGAGCACTGACAGTGACGAGTGTGTTAGTGCAGTACCTTTTGTTACGAGATGCCCCGAACACCCTACTTGGATTGACAGAAAAGTGAAATCTTCGTTAACATTAACGAGGGAAGAAGTATCACCTGAAACTGACATTGGTAACCATGAACCTCTAGTAGAAACTGACGATCTGGATAAGACCGTCACTGTTCCAAATAGTCCCGGTGTCCTGAGAGATGAAAAATGGACTACAGTACGAAAAAAACGAAGCTAAAAGAAAAACCTGTGGGCAATACGCAGGTGGTTAGCAAGTCATTGGTGGACTCCCATTGTGAGTCAAAAAATGCACTTCCGGAATCTGATGGTAAGAGAAAGACCCACCCTGGCGTGACTGAGAAGAAAAATCTAATATCATCTAATATTATAGTGAGCAAGTTGCTGGAGTCAAACGATTCTGATCCCAAAATAAGACACGCGCATGATTTAGAGAATATATACGTAGTATCTTGCCAGATGACTCTAAAGGAGCTCAGGTAAAAAAAAGTGGTTAGAATAGACAGGAGGATCGAGGACTGCTGAACCCCGATCGTGCAAACTCCTTAGGGTAATCTTAGGACCAGAGAAGCAACGAGATCTCCTGTTAATTAGCGCCCGTTGTCACGACAATTCTGATATCCGAGTTAGACCTGATATGTCTATCGACGATAGAATAAAAAGGAAGAAAGCACTAGCTGAACTAGAAACCCGTCGATAAGACGGTGAGGGATATCCCCGGTTAGTGGTTTTTCGGATAGTCAGGTCTTGGAAGCGAATGCTACCAAGGCCTGTGTGGGTAGGCCGTTCTACCTAGGAGTTTTATATACCAACACTAGTAGCCTAAGAAATAAGTTCTATCAACTAGAAGCATTAGTGGACAGGTTAAGGCCACTTGTTGTAGCAGTGAGTGAAACTTGGTTAGTCCATTACTTAGAAATTACTCCAGAATTACTCGGATATCATTACCTAAGGAGTGATAGATATAGATGTAGAAAAGGTGGCGTCCTGTAATATATAGCTGATAATATAAATACCCGCTCCTCTGATAGCGAATCCCATGATAGCGGTACTTCTGAAGTCATTAGCTGTAAATTGGCTATAGGATGTGGTACATTTATACTCGGTGACATCTATCGCAGCCCAATCTACTTAGCTGATGACTTCATTTTAGAGCACATTCATCTTTGGAGTGCAAATAACAGATGCTTGATAATAGGAGACTTTAATACACCTGATATTAGTTGAACTGAGATGACCACGGAAGGATCTATAAACTGCTTTGATAGTAGGTTCCTGATAACAATGATGGAGCATGCATTAGTACAGCATGTATCCAAACCTACACGTTTTGGTGCTAACCAAGGTTCTTCTCTGTTAAACTTGGTAATCACTCATGAGACTGAGGATATTGTCGACCTAAATACTCTTCCACCGTTAGTGAACAGCGATCACGCTGTTGTGTCATTCTCGTTTAGAACTAGGGACATGTTATCCGATCAGGTCACACCCCGCCCAAATGTATGGGAAGCTAACATATCAGCCATTCATAAATACGCTGCTAAGACAGATTGGTTTGTAGATACTAGCTTATCAGATTAAGAAGCATGGTCTGTAGTTAAAGATAAGTTTAGTTTAGTTACGTCCTCGTTCATACCATACCTGGTACCGCAAAGACCGAATAGCAGTCCACCATGGATAACTGAACCAGTCAAGAAACTTCTTAGAAGAAGGAAAAAGCACTGGAATATGTTCATGTCTACTGGCTTAGAACAATACAGATCCAGTTATTGTAAGACTAGGAATGCCTGTAAAGCGTTAATAAGACTAGACGATCATATGAAAAACGATTGATTAGGGATTCTAGATATGGTCCGAAACGGTTATTCTCGTATAGAAAAAGGCGAACTCAGAGAAGTGATGGAATTCCATCACTTTTGATACAAGAAAATCCGTTAATCTTGGCAGGAAATGATACCGAAAAAGCTGAAGCTTTGTCGAAATATTTCAGTAAAGTTTTTTCTATCAGTAATGAGGAACGACCAAAGACTCATTGTGATCGTGGCGGCTCGCTGATGGAACCTGTGGTCATTGAAAAAGGTACTGTTTTGAGGCTACTTCAGCATATCAAACCTGATAAGTCCAGTGGTCCTGATAATATTCATCCTAGGATTATGAAAGCCATACCAGATGTAATTGCTAAACCATTAGCGATACTGTTTGACATGTCTCTGAGGCAGTCCCAACTGCCCAAAGACTGGAAAGACGCTATAATAAGTCCGGTGTATAAGGCTGGGAGTAGGGATTTAGTTAGTTACTATAGACCCGTTGGCTTAACTAGCGCAGTTGTAAAATTGATGGAAAAAATCATTCGGATATCTATTATAAACTATTTTGAAGGGCATAATCTTTTCTCCAGGGAACAACATGGTTTTTGGAGAGGCCTATCATGTTTGACAAATCTTCTTATTGCAAGAGAAGATTGGGCTGCTGCAAAAGATCAGAATATTCCTGTAGATGTGATCTTCATAGATCTAAGTAAGGTCTCCCATTCTGGTCTTAAATTCAAACTGGAACGTTTTGGAATCTATTATACTGTCGTAGATTGGATAAGTAACTTTCTCCATGACAGGAGACAAAGGGTAAGGGTTAATAGGGCTCTTTCCTCGTGGGTACCTGTAAAAAGTGGAGTTCCCCAAGGTACAATCCTCGGTCCTCTTCTCTTTTTACTTTATGTAAATGAATTACCAACTGTAGCAAAGTCATCCGTTCTACTATTCGCTGATGATATAAAAATTTGGAGACCCATACACAGTATGTCGAACAGGATAGTATTACAGAATGATCTTAGCCCATTGGTGGTATGGTTAGACAGGTGGTCACTTGAAGTAAATCCTAATAAGAGTGTGGTGATGCAATTAAATAACAATGATGAATCGTATCACTATACAATATGTGGATTCGTGCAACCCAAATTAAGAGACCATAAAGATTTAGGAGTCATATTAAGCAGTGATCTCAAAACCACCAGTCACCATAAGGCTGCTGCTACGAAAGGCTATAGAGTATTATGGTCTATTCGTAGGTCTTTCTAGTATTTAGATGATGAAATATTTAGATTATTATAGCCGATCTACGTGCGACCACATTTAGAATATGGGATTCAAGCAGCAGGTCCTTGTTTCAAGTATGAAGCATATATACTGGAAAGAGTCCAAAGACGAGACACCAAGATAGTACGAGTTCTATCTGGCCCATCTTATGAAGACAGACTGAGACACCTCAACTTATTTCCGTTTTCTTACCGTAGAACACGGGGTGACCTAGTATTGGCTTATCGTATACTGAACGATGACCTTGGTATTAACATGTCTTATATTTTACTTCTGTCTAGGACTGATCATTTGAGAGGACACTCGAAAGAAGTTCAAACAACCGAGATCAAATCGTTTACATCTGGAGTTTCGTTTCTCACACCGAGTAGTGAATTACTGGGATTCTCTACCGGAACACGTAATATCAGAACCTTCTGTTGACATATTCAAAACGAGATTGGACCTCCACAATAATACAAACTGCAATGATTAATATAGGTTAATAGACCTCCTATCCTTATTACTGAGGACTAGAACAATCTAAAATTCTGCGGGCAATCGAAGGTTGCGCTACTTACTTTTATTCCGGGCTGCAGCCCCATTGGGAAAAAGAAGGCAGTTTGGTCCAAGATCTTTAATCGCACCATATTTCCTTAACTAGTGCCAGTTATATTTTTTCATTCTCGTTTTTTGAGTTGCCCTAAGAATGAAGATAATGTTTCGTTAAATAATCATTTGACGTTAGCGTAAAACCGTAACCATTAATATAAGGACGAATACAATAAATATAACCCCTAGACTGTCTCTGGGCACGTTATACTAAAGAGTGAAGAGGCATTGTCTAGTAGCTTTACACTTTGTTTTCAGATCTATTTCCGTAATATTTTTGAGCCGTATATTCTTTCACAGGTTTTCTTTAGTCTCCTGATGTACATTTTAAATAGTTTAGGGTTTTTTCACTTATCTATTCGAGATATTCAAAATTTTACTATCTGCGTTTCTGGTTAAAAATGTCACTTATTATTTTTAGTTTAAAACCTAATATATGGTGACCAGTGGAAGCAGTCTTGAAAACAGATCCTTCCAAATCAGGGTGATAATAGTATCACATAGAAGTGGTGAAAGTTGACACATTTAGCTAACAACTCAGGTGACTCTTCAGGTTGTAGTTTTGAATAGTATTACATTCTTCAGTGTGTAGTAGTACCTATCCCTTCGTTGACTAGTATTACTAGGACGTAACAGGATTTTCCGGCGTTCATTTATGTCTTGGGATGTAAACGACTAATTAGTTCGAAAACTTTAGTTTTATATTGATATGGAGTTATGGGAATAGATTTTTAACCTATCAATCCCCCACCAAAGTTTGGATACCATAACTTCAAAGGTAAACCAATACAGACTCAGTGTATAGTAATCCTATAGGGTTCAAAACTTAATATTAGCTTTTGGGTATGCAAACTGCTTTCATTCATTACACATGTCATATTCATATTTTTCCATTGGCAAAATTTACTTTTAGAGTTCAGGAAGGTGAATTGGCGACATTCATGATGCTGTTTAATTAAAAACGTGGTAAATTTTACATCACCTGTTAAATATTGATGGTGGTATAGAAGATGAATGTTGATGGTGTGATTATTCTTACTTTGTAATATAATCTTAGTTATTTCAGAGTCACTGAAAACGGAAATAGAAGAAATAGCTCTAAAATCGGTATGTTAATTTGTTTATTTACTCAACAATATAGGGAATTGATGTGCGTGATTATGCTGCTCAAGTTGAATCAGAGTTAACAAAAATAGAAGAATCACTTATAAAGACATGTAAATTTTATACATTTATTAGGTATACGTAGATATAACTGTCAGTCCTGAAGTAGCTAGTTTACATAATCAAATTATCTCATGTGACGCTATTCTAGAGGTTTGTTTCTTATTTCTAAAGTATGCTTCCATCATAATTAAGCGGATAGAAAACATACTGACTAATTTCCATGAAGATTTGGGCGCCATTAGCACAGAAATCCAGGATTTGCAAAGCAAATCTCTACAAATGAACACTCGGTTGCAAAACAGACAGGTAGGTTATTGCACAGTTATGATTTTATTTTCTGTTCATTAAAATTATTATTTTTACTCGTGTTGTATATTTTGGAGTGAGTTAATCTTAATGGTAAAGGGAAAAATTAGTACATACGGTGTTTCTGCTGGCCACGAAATATAATAAGTGATAGGCATTGGATGCTCAAATATACCTGACGTGTTTGATATATATATATATATATATATATATATATATATATATATATATATATATATATATATATATATATATATATATATAATCTTATTGCGGACATGGACCTTATTTCACTTATGAGGATTTATCGACCTCTGTCGTATTAAATCATATTTATTCCCTTGGTTGGTATCTAAGCTGTTAAGTAAAGTTATTGTCTGGGAATTTATTTCTTTGTGTTTTGTGTCGATCTTGGTTTAAGTTTTTCTTTAAGCGTCTAGGTTTAGAGTACGTCTACATTATGAGCCTAAGGGGATTCCGTTAAACCACCTTGAAAAGTACTTTCATATAAATAGGCGGATTTAACTAGCTAATAGTGGGGTAATGTTAAGATTAGTTAAATTATCACACAAATTATATTCTATTAAGTTTTTTATAGCTTTATCGAAAAAGAATTCATTTAGGGAAAAGAGCCAGAATTATTCATAAATGTACTGCCCTGTATACAAATCATATTTTAAAATCCTGGTCAATAACTTCTGAAACTTTAGACAGTCAATAAGACTTTTCATTATCAACTCGAGTCAATTTTTCCCGTAATCAGTATTCAAAAGAGTGAATTCAATGCACAAATATATGATCAGTTAGCTAGTTGTTTAGTCATATTGGATGAATTGTATCACGTATATAACTTACAACCCATGTTAAGGTACTATTGACACTTTGGACATTGTATAGTTTCGTTTCAATTGACTTGTTTGTAATGCATTTTAATTAATACAATTATTATATTTAAAGTAGACAGTTTTCTATGTTAACATGTTCTTCGCTTGCGCTTACTTTATTATGTTCATCCAAACGCTCAATAAGTAAGGATACTATAGTAGACGGTAACTCTTGAGCCACTTGCCTATGTAAAGAGATGATACTTTAAAAGCTTACAGACTTATAATTTCTTTTTTGTCGCATTCTGATAAGCCAATAAGTCACTTGAATTTTTCTCACTGATTTACTTCTCTGTAGGTTGTTCGGAGTAATTTAAGCCAGTTTCTTTCAGATATGGCCATTCCTGAAGAGCTTATACGGTAAGCATCTTGACCGCATCTAAAACGTTACCTTGTACCATTGTCCATGACGTTGGCTTATTAATTCTTCAGAGTTAGTTTTACTCTGAAGTTATATCAGAATTCTCTTCTTGTTTTTAAAGCTGATTGGCAAAATTTGTGTGTCCCACTTTAAAAGCTGCCACTTGTTCTTAATGGTAAATTATTTAAATAATGTTGAGTACTCAAAACAAGTAGTGTTTTAGCTAGCAGCCGCTTTCAGTTAATCTCTTCAGTCTAAACAGTTATAATCCTTTCGATGCTGTGTTGTAACGATCAATGTGAATCGCGTTAGAAAGTTCCGATTGAATCAATTTATTAACAATATAATTCAATCATTTTTTTTGTATTATTTGAACATAAATATTGGTACGAAGGGGCACTGAATACATATGCGCCACACAAGTCACTTGATTTATGTGTGGGCTGTGATACTGCTCGGTTGCCCACACCGAAGCAGGTGGTTTTCTTAGGGGGCCACTCTCGAAGCCTTCGACCTAAAGGTCTGATCCACAAGGCATTGGTGCAACGTAAGGAGATGCAGTCCCATGGTATTCGGTAACCAATGATTGGTTCATACGTCACTTGCCCCCGAATGCCCTGGTACGGCCGAGAGTGGGGAGAGTCCGCTCTCCCTCTCAAAATGCTCTCACATGGCCACGCGTATACGGCTTCTGCCAGGAAAGTCCTACTCACTGCCTTCTCTTGGTGGGGATGTTGTTGACGAAATTGAGAGGACGAAAAGCAAATGTCCGGTGCTTTAACCGGATCCCAAACCAATGGTGCACATGGGCTCCAGTATCCTCAGGGAACAAATGGCGTATGAACCAATCGTTGGCCACCGGCTACCATGGAACTGCATCTCCTTACGATGCTCCACTGCCTTGTAGATCAGACCTTTAGGTCGAAGGCTCTGAGTGTGGCCCCCTAAGAAAACCACCTGTTTCGGTTTGGGCACCTGGACAGTATCACAGCCCTCACACAAATTAAATGAGATTTGTGTGGAGCATATGTATTTGGTGCCTCGTTGTACCAATATCTATGTGTTAAAATAATAATAATATCACTTGTTCCCTTAGAATCCTGGGGCCCATGTGCACCAGTGGTTCGGAACCATGGTTTTCCAACTCCCCTAGGTGAACTCTCCGTGTCCACCAACCAGGTTAGATCGCCGGACATTCGCTTCTCGTCTTCCGAATTTCTTCAACTACACACCCCCGTCACGAGAAGGCAGTAAGTAGGACTTCCCTGGCAGTGGCGTATACGTGTGGCCATGTGAGAGCATTTCGAGAGGGAGAGCAGACTCCCCCACCCTCGGCTATGCCAGGGAATTTGGGGGCTAATAATTCATTCAGTAACTCCTACTGACGTACCTAGCATGGTGAAGCCCAAACGAAAGAAATGTCCCAGCCGTTATATCTGGATTGGTTCATCATGATATGCAAAGCCAACCACCACATCAAAGTAGTATCTACAATTGGGATTTGATTATTTGTTTGTTATTCTGCCTTGTGATAAATTAACCTGTGTGTAGAACTGGGTTCAATAATAATTAGGTCTAGTCAATCCTAAACTTGTATGCAATAACTGTATTCACTGCAGCAAATGATAGGTAAAAAAGTAAACTGAATTGGACAGGCATTTATCGTGAAGATATCGGTATAAATTGTTTACTAGATATGTAAATAACCAGACGAGTACAAATTTTATCACTTCATTTGACCGTTTGATACTAGATGTGTCGAATTAACCACTCAATTGGTTTGATCATACGTTTGCTACACGTTCAAAAATTAGATCATAAATATATTTATCTTTACAAGCTGGATAAAAGTAATCTAATAGAAATTATTCCATATACTGAGTACCGTCAACTGTTTTCACTACGCTCACTGTTGGGCTAAGAAAATATGTCAAGTAATTACTAGCACGCCAACTTTAGAGGTCACATCAGTAAGACCATCATGTCTTCCTTGCATCTCATAGGAGAATATTTATTTATTTATTTGAACACATAAATATTGGTACAAGGGGGCACCAAATATATATGCGCCACACAAAACAATGAGAATTTAAAGAGAAGGGTAAAAAGGTAAGGAACGTAGGGAATTACAAAAAAAGGAGAGAACAACAATGGGGGAAACGGAAAGGTACGATCAGAAGAAATCCTTCAGTTAAGGAAGAAGCAACCACTTTTTATGAAGAAAGTAAAAGAAGGTTACAGCAGGATCGCCACTGGCTTCTATTCTGAGCCATATCTGATAACGTTTCTAGCCACTGTGTTACACCATCTCTGGGACCCAAGCCAGGGAGTCGTGAAGGACCAACACAAGCCAGCTCTTTGCAGCTTTCTTTCATACCACGACACCATGTCATATACTGACCATCTATATGTATCCTTTTCGACCTAGACAGCAGCTCGCTTATGGTGGAAATTTGGCTCTATCTAAACGAATATTTAGTTACCAGTGTTATAATCATAAAAGTCCTGTTTGCTGCAGTTGGGATGCAGAATTCTCAGCTTGGTAAGTCTTTGGAACAATTTTGGTCCGATAGACACTTCTACTCAATTTAGTCTATTGGTTTTTGTTGTCTTCTGTTTGACCCCGTGCATCAGGCAGTATTGGCGTATTGATTTGATACCTATTACCTTAATTTAACTTTTTGTTAACCGACTAAGATCTGATAATTACATAGTTATGAGGTATTTTAGTGCTCTTGATGTTATTTTATCTGGAAAAATCAACGTTTCACGGACTCCTTTTTAATACTAATTCTTTTAGACACATTATGTACACTCCTGTTACTGAACAAGAGTTCCTTGAAAACCTTCATGAATTGAACCATAAAATGAATTTCTCGTTAGAGCAATCTATGGTGGATTACAAATCATTTAATGATGTCAGTGTACTTCTAAAAAAGTTGAGAATTAAGGTAGGTATATCTTTGCAAAAATGTATGGTTTATTTGTTGATTGCATATACTTCAATTTAATTATTTATCTAGACCCAAGATAGTCATTTCTTAACTACAAAACGCCAGCTCCTTACTGTCCTCAGTCTGTATCAGTTTATCCAGATAACTAATCTAAATACCCCCTTTCCAATATAAAAGTTTTAATTTTTTTGTTATGCTGCACTAATTAAGTGAAATCAAAGCACTATGGAGTTATACATGTTACGACAATTCATTTTATCATAATTTCCCGTATGATTGAGGCGAATTTAAATGTGCCTACTTACTTACAAAATCAGTAGTTCAACGTGATATTAAGGATTTATTCAATTGAGATCTTTTCTTATTTCTAAGGTTACTGCTGATTCTCTCAAATTTTTTTCACTCAATAAACATCAGTTCTTGTCCATTATGACAATTAGTGATAGTTGGACGTCTGAAATATAGGCCCTGTTTACGCAGTCTACTTACCTGCCTACCTCACTCAGTCAGCTACAACATAGGACCAGACATATATATGCATCAGTCCAAGTTGTCATACCTCATTAGCACAACAAGATGAACACCAAATTCATAGAAGTAGTTACTTCAATGGTAGTAATATATAAAAGAAAGGTTGTGTATAAGGATATAATACAGGAAGATAGAATTAGTTCGTAGAAAGTGAGATTTGAAGTGATTTTAATCTCTTAGTTTAAAGGAAGACAGAGAGTGTATACACCGACGCCATTGTGATCGATTCTGAGCCATGTCACCAAGGGTCTCCAACCATTGGTTACGATAGTCATGTGGACCCGAACCATGTAGTTTGCACCTACCAACATGGCTCAGACTAGAAGTTAGTGACTTTATAGACTGATGCCACGTTTTGGTTTGGCCGCCCCTAACTTTCTTCCAATTATCCCTAACACCGGTTAGCATTGCGCGTCGTGGTAATCGGTGTTCAGGTCTACGTAACACATGGCCCAACCATCTTAGTCGATGAAGATTCACAACCTAATCGACCGATTTACCAGCATTCCCTGGTACTCTTCGTCTAACCTCACTATTACTTACCCGGTGATCCCAGCAGATGCGAGCAACATCTGTGACCAGATATCAGTCACTTACGAGTGTCTTCTACCCTTAATGATCGCGTTTCGCAGCCGTAAAGTAAAACAGAACGAACTGCTGCGCAGTATACTCGTGCCTTAATTGATAGGTGGATATCTTGCCTTCGCCATAGGTGACCTATGGCAAAAGCCAAACGAGCATTTTGAATCCGTGCAGAGATTTCGTCAGACGCCAACCAATTAGGGCTGATCAAACTTCCAAAATAAGTGATGTCGACGCGTTTGACTACCTCATTTCCTATCCTTAGTTCAAGTGTTGACGCGGGCCAGTCCTGAAGCAACAATTTGTATTTAGAGGTGGAGAAATGCATCCTAAACATGGTATGCATTGTTGCTCAGTGCTACCAAAAGACTGCACTTTATTAGCATTTTCACCAAACTGGACTATGTCATCTGCGTATTCTAAGTCGATAGGTGAACCTCCTGGTATGAGATCGATACCCGAAAACTCAGTCGACGAGATCGTTGTTTCCATCAGTACGTCCATGATAATGTTGAACAAAAAACGGAAATAGTGGACAGTCTTACCGGACACCACTTGAGGTAGCAAAATCTGATGAAAGTTCGCCATAAGCACTGACTAGACTGGCAGTGTTAGAGTTAAAAGCCTTCACAAGGTTTATGTACTTCTGAGGTACACCTTTCAATGACAGACACTGCCACAGAATTTCGCTATCTACATAGCCAAATGCTGCTTTTAAGTCACGAAAGACCACCAGTGTTGGACGCCGATAAGTATGCCTGTGTTCTAGAACTTGACGAATGGTGAATATGTGGTCGATGCACCCACGACCAGGTCTGAAGACAGCCTGATTTCCTCGTGTTTGCAGTTCACGAGTCTTAGTTAGGCGTCCGATAATTATCGAGGCTAGTATTTTAGATGCTATATTAGTCAAACTAATCCCTCTATGGTTATTACAGGATGATTTTGACTCTTTCTTATGTATTGGGACAATCAGTGATTGCGTCCAACTCCCAGATTTTAGCTAAAATACCAGTCAACCTAATTGTTAAAATTGGACCACCATCTGGACCATCTGCTCTTCCTCGTTTCATACTAGCTATAGCCTTTTGGACTTCAACTAGAGTTGGGGGGCCTACTTTAATATTCCATTCAGGCTGTTTGGGTAGTTGTAGGCTAGCTGAAGGCCAGTTTAACTGCTCCTTAAAGTGTTTCACACATTGTTCTAAACGTTTGGACTGGGAGCAGTTAAGACTATAATCTTTTTCCGTGATTGTTAGTACTTACACTTGACTTCTTAATTCCAGTTTCTTTCATTAGTCTGAAAAGCTGTCTTGTGTTGCCTACAGCCGTCAACATTTCCACCTTTTTTGCTTTCGTTGCCCACTACTGCTCACGGTCGTTCTGCAGACTTTTTGTTAATCTAGATCTGATTTGTTTTTGCTCTTCATCGTGTTCGGAACCTGATGGGTTGAGTTTACAAGAGTCTATCAGCGCAATAGATGCAGCAGAAATCCACTGGTTTTTCGTGATGATTTGTTACTAATCACTAACAGATGTCACTGCTGTTTCCACGGCTGTTCGTATATCTTTCCAAACATCATCTGTGTCAGCCTCGTTTTCGGAACTGCCTAATTGTGGCCTCAGTTGTTCCTGAAATCTACTTTTGACTTTCTCACCACTGAGTTTGACTCCAATGGGTCTCCTTAATATGGTTTTCCTGCGTCCAGAGAGGTGCAAGCAATTGCGTGCTCGTATTAGAGCATGATCGGCGTCTAAACAGGTATTCCAGAACGAGCGACAGTCTTCTATTGAGTCTCTCCAACGATGACTGATGGCAATATGGTCTATTTGAGTCCATCGTTGGTTTGGTACGGGCGTTCGCCATATTAGACGATGTCTCTCCTTATGCTTACAATTAGTGCTTGCTAAAAATAAACGATTGTCTGAGCACAGTTGCAGCAGACGGTTATCATTATCTGTTTTCTGAGATGGAATACCGAAATTCCCACCTAAATGTCTTTCTATTTGATTTAAGCTACCTGCCTGGGCATTAAAGTCACCTGCTATGAGTGCTATGTCTGAGCGTTTAGCTTTATGAAGAAGTTCAGAAAGCTTTTTCTAAAAGTCATCTTTTACTTCATCTGGGCTGCAGTCAGTGGTAGCGTATGTAGAAACGACGAAAAGGCAACGACGTGTGTCCTTATCCTTTCGAGTTCTTACTTAGCCGTTTAACCGAACAACACATAGGCGACTGTTGACGGGGATCCACTCTAACAGTGCATGTTCTACTCTCGTACTTAATCATATACATACACCTACCAGTCCATGAGAACTAACCATCGGGTCGCCAGATACACGGAAGGGTGTATCTCGTCGGCTCTCCTTTTTGCCGAGCTGAGGTCAAGTGAATGACCACACTAGGATCCTGTATGCATGTTTCGGAGACATAGCATACACCAATGGTAAGAAATTCTAGGGTTTTAGCCAAGGAGGTCTGCTGGCCGATTTGACATAGGTTTCGTACGTTGAAGGCTCCAATGTGTAGTTTGGGGTAAGGTTTCAGTAGACCTGTGAGTGTTTTGCTCACTAAAATCGTTGGCTATGGTGATACTTGAGGAGGAAGTTTAGAGTTGAAAGTCGATGCAGGGGGAATAATAGGGATTGAGGAGGGAGGCTGATTACGAATACAATGATCTCGAGTGCTGTTAAAGGTATAAGGGCGGTTATCGCTTCCCGGTTGCTAACACCGTGGAAGGGTTCTTCTGGAGGTACCTGAAAAAGAAATTGGATTAGAGGTGGTTTTAGTCACCTGAGGGCGTGACCCAAGGGACAACTACTTGAGGTCGGTCACGCACGACCTTTTTGTGAGTAGTTTTCGTGTTAGCTCCGTACTTGTTGAGACCTTACCGCCGGAGACGGATATCCGTGGGTTAAGGCGAGGTGTGCATTTTTAGAGTTGACCTTTTCTAACTCCATTCTTTCTTGTGGGAAGGCAGCATCTCTGTTATGTTGGTTTTTTGAAGGGAACACCTTTTTTCCGTCACTCCTCTGTACAGTCTGCAGTACGACTTCACCTTCGGACCTTGGGTTTACTGCTTTTGATCTTACCGCTCTTCAACCGTCCTGTCAGGCATGTTAGGACCTTGAAGGACGATTGTTCCAGCCAATATATCTTGATTGACTCGTCACGATAGGCAGGCCTACCTACCTCAATTAACAACTGTCTATTTGTCTTCATATATAGTAATCATCCATAAATTTCATATTTTGTTTACTTCTGCTATCAGTTATTATGTTATTTTATTTCAATTTAACTTTAGGCTGTTACAAAAATCCGGGAATTTCTGTTGGGTAAAATATACTCCCTACGTAAGCCGCTTACAAATTATCAAGTTCCTCAAAACCAAATGCTGAAATTTCGGTAAGTATTTCTGGTGTGATATGTTTTTAGTTGTAAGTCTCGAGTTATTAACAAATGATAAGTATTAATTACATCTAGCACGCATAAAATGCTGATGGTTAAATCAAATTGTCCATTTGTTGTTTGACAACAGAAAGGACTTTCTGTAGACATGGTGTCGTCAAACATCATGTATACTTTTGATCCTCTAGATATTCCTTTAAGTTATCATGACGTCGGTACCTCTGTTATTACTTTCATCGTTGAGTTAATATATTTTTTGTATGAAACCTAATATCAAAGTAGATTGCTTTCTAATGCTAATCGAATGATACGCTCTATTAAATCAACTAGCATATTACTTCATAAGAGCATACATTTATGTTGTCAAAAAACGCATATGCAAACTATTTCATCTTATATTTCGGATTGTTAGTCAATACAGACGACAAAAATTGATCATTGATGTTGGTTGGGGCTGTTTATGTTGTTTATTTGTCAACTGTTTCATTTTATTAACCATACCAAACGATGTCTACTGAGTAACATAAGAGGTTCAACTCAACTATTTGATCACAGGTTTGAACCATGTCTCACTCCAGTTTTATCAGCTGAGTAGGATAATTAGTTCTCATACAAAGAATGTGATTCAAAGACGAATACACAAAACAGCTCTTGGTTATTCAACATTTCCACAAGTCATGTAAAAGTTCTTGTTCGTCCTTCTTATTACACCGAACCCTCCGAAAAACAAACAGTATGTCCTTAGAATGAGTTTTAAGAGGTCGAGAACGTCTTACACACTTCGACGCAATTTAAAAGCATAATTCGTTTCATTCAGATTGAATATTACTTACTACAGATTAACGTTACAAACAGTCCCATTTAATAGCTAGAAGAATTATCCTAGAGCGAAATATTATTTTCGAAGTGATAGTTGTTTCATCATTCTAGTTGCAGCATGGATCTGTTGAAAATGATTTGTGTTATTGCGGATCACATTATTACCGTTCTATGTGCTTCCAGACATGAACAATCAATTTAGAACTGGTATATACTTGTGCTTTTGTAATTTAATCGGTCCGTTTGTGAATACACGTTACGTTAAGATTCAATTGTTTAATCTGACTGACCTGAGTTAAATTACACCAGTTGAAGAAATGTAGAATTTATGTTTGATAGTAACATGAAAAACTTATTTTTGAAGTGCGAAAATTCCGACATGTGTTGTTACCTGATGCATATAACTGGTAATATTTTTCAAGTTATATTTCAACATTTCTGTTGGTGTTTTCTTCCTTTGTATCCAGATTTTACAATTCGTTCCTCTTAGCTCATGATCGAGAGATAGCTAAAGAAGTTAGGGTGGAGTATATCAATACGATGAGTAAAGTTTACTACGCCTATTTTAAAGCTTATGGTGGTAAATTAACCAAATTACAAGTTAGTCACTAAGTTTTACTAAAGCTTAACTTCATACATTTGTAATTCGTTTCTGCTTTGTTGTTTTTCATGGAAAAATCTATCGTTTCAAATTTTGTGCCTTAAGTGACGAGTTTGCCTCAGTAACATTTTTGTCTTAGTTGTAGTTAACACCAGTATAATAGTGCTTAATGGTAATAATCTAGTTTAATTTATGTTCTCATGAAAGGAAAAAAATAGTATATCAAGATCAGTGTGTATCTGATTTTAACAAATAATATTGAGAACATTGTTAAATGTTTTTCTGATTTGAAGTACTAGGTTAATTAATTGGGTGGTATCAGCGTTTACAAAAGAATATATCGTTATAAAAATAATTTGTAAGAGAAGGTGTAAATTGTTTGGAATAGAAAATCAGATACGTGGGTTTCTTAAATAAACCTAAATTTATATACAAATAGTATGAGTGATATGTGTAAATCCCCCTTTTTTAATCTGAACCGTCTTTCACACACACAAAATCTTGCGTCTAATATGCAGTGAATATACGTCTTCATAATAGTAAGTTATTCTTTTAATTGTAAATAATTCTCTTGTTCAATATAACTCAGAAATCAGTAAAAAGTACACACACTCAACTGCCAATAATAATATTAATAATATTAATAATAATAATAATAATAATAATAATTATTATTATTATTATTATTATACTTAGTTTATTGATTACAGTCTCTCACGATCACAGCCACTTTTTGGCTTGATCATGTACAAATGTTATTTCCTATTTTATGGTGTGATGGGGGCCGTTTGGCTTGTATATAAACCAGGTATGTTTGAAATAAATGATTTATATGGTAGAAGCTATTATTGATATTCTGGACTCAACTGGCAGGGTTAGGAGGGAAAAGGACCAATAAGGGCGCTAGGCTGCTCATACCAGTCGAACGTCGTTAGTTTGGCACAGTGCACAGTGTATCAGTCGTACTCTGATTGGCGAATAAGTCACATGGTAATTAGCCGGGCTTAAAGTCCCAACACTTGCCACATACAACCACGTAGTTACAATCCCGGTAATCAACCTACGAAACCCATCTCTATAGATTCCATCTAATTACATTTTACATGATTTATAATTTTTCATGAAAATATTACCATTCTGTTCTTTTTTCTCTCGTTAATGTAGCTTGATACAACTTATGAAAAAGATGATTTATTAGGGAAAAATCCAGATAAATACAATTCTGCATCATCTACATCCAGTCTGGTGTTCAATTCAATTACTAATGTTACTAATAATCCAACCGTATCAGTGTCATCTAATTCTGGAACACGTGTCGGACTTTTTGGATTAAGCGATCGTGCATTTCGTGTACTTGGTAAATCGAATCTAGAAAGTGCTATTATTTTACCACATGTGGCCAGCAACGTTGATGCTAAAGTAAGTGAATCAGTATAATTTTCTGATTTCTTGATTTTGAATGAGTTAATACACTTCCATAATAAAAAGGTACAAGTATTTATAAACAGTTGTCTACGCAAGTTACTCAATATCCGTTGGCCGATTACCATCCTCGGTAGCCTACTGTGGGAGAGGACAAACCAGCTTCCATCTGAAAAGGAAATTAGGAAAAGACTCTGGAAGTAGATAGAATATACATTACGGAAATCATCAAACTGCATCACGAGGCAAGAGTTAACTTGGAATCTTGAAGAGAAACGGAAAAGTGGAAGACCAAAGATCTATAACAATTCTCCTACAATCGATTTCGATTGTGGTTAATTTTAGTTAAACCCTTTTATTAACTTCTTTAACAGACAGTGTCATTCTGATTCTAACAATTCGTCTATTTCTTTGTACTATTGTGGTCACTATCGTGTCTGTATAAACATGTAGCCTTGAGCACATGTCAGTCAGTAACAACGTGGAACTTCGTACGTACGTACATCAGTTCGAGTTGCCATACCACATTAGCACAGAGATTCAGTTATCGATTCAAATCCCATAGTGGTAGAGGTACTGAAAGTATAAGTAGAGATAGGGGACATTAAGGTTTGATGATGTTATTAAAGGAGTATAGTCCAGTGGAATAAATTGGGAAAGAAAATAAAGGACATAAAGAATTCAGAAGATTAGAGTTTGAGAGAATACAAAGAGTGGATGCACCTGCGCCATTGCAAACGGTTTTGAGCGATGTCATTCAAGATCTCTAACCATCGGTTGCTATCGTCTCGCGGTCCCCAACCAGGTAGTCTATACCTACCAACATGGCTCAGTCCACTTGTCAGTGACTTCATGGATTTGTGCCATGTTTTGGTCTGGCGGCCCATAGCTTTCTTCCAACCTACTCCTACACCATAAAACATCGCACGTCGGGGCAGTCGGTGGTCGGGCATACGTAGCACATATCCCAGTCATCTCAACTGAAGTTTCACTACTTCAATTGATTTGCCATCCTTACCTAGTACCCGTTTCCTAACAACTGAGTTAATTACTCGGTGGTCCCAGGATATACGAGCAATGTTTCGAAGACATCTTTGATCGAATACTAGTAACCTACGAATATCCTCTACTCTCACCGGCCATGTTTCACTGCCATAAAGTAGGACGAAACGAGCTGCTGCGCAGTAAACACGTCCTTCAGTTGATAGACGGATATCTCGCCTACGCCACAAAGGACGCAAGTTGGAAAAAGCTAGTCGAGCCTTCTGTATCCGTGCTGAAATTTCGTCACACACTAGACCACGAGGGCTGATGAGACTTCCAAGATAAGTGAAGCGGTCGACACGCTCAACAACTTCACTCCCTATCACTAGTTCGGGTGCCGATGCAACCCAATCCTGAAGCAACATTTTGCATTTCGAGGGAGAGAATCGCATGCCGAACATGCCTGCATTGTTGCTTAGAGTGGTCAGCAGACTCTGCATTTTGTCAGCGTCTTCACCAAATAGAACTATGTCATCGGCATACTCTAAGTCAACCAGTGAATCTCCCGGTAAAAGTTCAACTCCTGGAAATTTAGATGAGGAAAGTGTTATTTCTAAAAGGACGTCAACGACAAAGTTAAACAAGAATGGAGAGAGTGGACAGCCCTGACGAACACCACTTAAGGTAATCAGTTCTGATGACAGTTCGCCATAAGCTCTCACTCGACTAGTTGTGTTCGAGTAGAGAGCCTTTATAAGGTTAATGTACTTCTTTGGTGCTCCTTTCAGTGACAAACACTGCCATAGAACCTCACGATCAACAGAGTTAAATGCCGCCTTAAGGTCGAGAAATACTACCATTGTGGGGCGTCTGAATGTGTGTCTATGTTCTAGGACCTGACGTAATGTGAATATTTGATCAATACAACCACGTCCAGGTCGAAAACCAGCCTGGTTTTCTCTAGTCTGCATTTCACGAGCTTTGGTTAGACGTCGAAGTATTATTGAAGCTAATATTTTAGACACTATATTAGTCAAACTAATTCCTCTGTGATTGTCACAGGAGGACTTTTGTCCTTTCTTATAAACTGGAACCATCAGTGATTGAGACTAGTCAGATGGGATTACGTCCAGTTCCCAGATTCTACCTAAGACCTCAGTCAGTCTCGCTGCTAATACTGGATCACCATCCTTAAAAATCTCAGGGGTGAACCTGTCAGGGCCTGCTGCTCTCCCACGCTTCAGATTTCCTATAGTCTTTTTCAACTTCGTAAAGAGTCGGAGGATTCACATTAACTTGTCATTCAGGTAGATGGGAGATCGTGGGAAACCGAAGTGTGGCTGAAGGCCAGTTGAACTGATCCCTAAAGTGTTCTGCCCATCGATCCAATCTCCTGGGTTGAGAATGAATAATATGTCCATCTTTTTCGGAGATAGTTTCGCTAACAGTTGGGTTCCTAATCCCGGTTTACTTAACAAGTCTGAACAGTTGCCTGCTGTTACCTATTGCTCCTACCTTTTCCATCTCTCTTGCTTTCGCTACCGACAACTGTTCACGATCTTTGCGTAGGCTTCTTGTCATTTTACGCCTAACCTGACTCCGCTCTTCGTTAAGTTTCGAGCCAGATGGAATGAGTTCTCGAGCATCTATCAGTGCGGTAGACGCTGCTGAGATCCAGTGTTTCTCCTTAACTTTATGATTTACCGTACTTGCAGACATCACTGCTGTTTCTACAGCTTTTCGGATGTCATTCCACGCTGCCTCGGGGTGGGCATCAGTTACATAGCTGCCTAACTGTTTTTCTAGTTGTTCCTGAAATATACTCTTAGTTTGACTATCATTAAGTAGGACCCTAATGGGTTTCCTTGCAGCATGTTTCCAGTAAGACGTAGACAAATACGCGCTCGCACTGGAGCATGATCTGAGTCTAGGTATGTGCTCCAGAATGAGCGACAGTCTTCTATCGAGCCCCTCCATCGGTGGCTGATAGCGATGTGATCTATTTGGGTCCAGCGTTGAGACGAATTGGGAGGTCGCCATGTTAAAAGATGTTTTTCCTTATTCCTAAAGTTAGTGTTTGCAAGAAACAGGCGGTTATCTGAGCACAGCTGCAACAGACGGTCGCCGTTATCTGTTCTTTGAACCGCGACACCATAAGATCCACCCAGGTGGCTTTCCCTTTCGCTTAGTTTACCTACTTGAGCATTAAAGTCACCAGCCACTATTACTACATCTGAACGCCTAGCTTTTCGGAGAAGGTCGGAAAGCTTTCTGTAAAACTCATCTTTTACATCATCTGAGCCGCAGTCATTCGGAGAGTAGGCAGACAGGACGAGTGTCCCTATCTTTTCGAGACCTTACTGTTCCGTTTAGTCGGACAGCACACAAACGACTGTCTACTGGGATCCAGTCTAAGAGAGGTAGTTCTGCCCTAGAAATCAATGCTATACCTACGCCAGCGAGGCCACGGGAAGCAGCATCAGGGCTTCCAGATACACGAAGCGTAAATCCAGTTGGTTCGTTACTTTGACATGGTGCGGTCAAATGAGTGACACTACTCGAATCCTGTGTGCGCGTTTCGGATACGCCGCACACATCGATGGAGCGAGATTCTGAAGTTTTAGCTAAGGAAGCCTGTTGTCCTATTTTGGTACAGTGTTCAGACGTTGAAAGCTCCTACGTGTAGTTTGGAGCGTGGTTTCAGGAGACCAGGAATAACGTTCCGCGTACTCGAATCGTTCGCACTAGCGGGGTGAGGTGATAAAGAGACGTAAGAAGGGTTAGTCGTGGAGATAAGAGAGTTATTAGGAGGTGGAGGAAGGATTTGAATGTGCTGTTACGGGTATGAGGGCTGATATCACTTCCCGGTTGCCCACACCGTGGAAGGGTATTTCTTGAGGGACCTGAAAAGGAAATCGGATTAGTGTTGGTCTTAGCGACCTGAGTGCGTGACCGCAGAGCCCAAGGGCAACTGCTTGAGGCCGGTCGCGCACGGCCTTTTTGTGGGAGGTTTTTGATGTGCTAGTTCCGTTCTTCAAAGGGCCTTACCACGGAGACGGAAATCCGTGGGGTAAGGTGAGGTGTGACATTTTCAGGATCAACCTTTTCTAACCCCTTCCTTCCTCGTGAGAAGGCAGCATCGCTGCAGATGCTGGTTGTCCGAGGGAAACACCTTACTGCTGTCACACCTCTGTACAGTCAGCAGTACGATTTCGCCCTCAGACCTTGAGTTGCTGCTTTTAGTCTTACCATTCTCCAGTCGACCTTCCTGGCATGGTAGAACCTGCAGGAACATGTGTTCCAGCCAATATAGCTCGGTTGGGTCATCACGATAGGCAGCTTACTTACATATCTCTTTAACTAAAATGTTAGTACTTTAAATATCGCTCGATGAGTCATTCTCTTTCCCATGCATATATGTACTCGAATCCTATTATTAACCTTTGCCTTGCTTTGCTGTGCCCTTATGTGGTTTGACTATAAATTCGCCTCTGTGTTCTCTCGTACACTCATTAACTTCTCTTTCCGGATTCGCTCCATGTTCTTGTAATTCTGTTACCTGTGCTATCCACTAATAAACTAGTTGCCGCATCTTAGTGACTTCTGATTTCAAACACCGTTGGGATTTATATAATAACGGTTACAAAGATGATTGATTAATGAAGTTGAGCCATAATGATTTCCCACGATAATTTAGGACAGTATCTTTTGATTTTAAATAACGATTCGCAATATACATTTATCACTATATAGTCTTGAAGGCTTTTTTCTGTTGTGTAGAGTTTGGTGATCAGTTTATGTAAGATTTGTTTTTGTTTTACTTTCTAAACCCTTTATTTTTCCATGTAGTACCCAATTGAAGTTTTATTCCGTTCCATTCACTACGCGCTTCTGGATACTGCATGTCGAGAATATTATTTTCTGTCAGATTTCTTCCTTCTTAGTACGGAAACTGGATCTGTTGATTCACCACCATCTTGTGATCAAAGTACATCCAATCAAGGTCAAACTCAAAGTGGTGTAGCCTTAGCTCATTTATTTGAGCAAGTTATGAGTCGTAGTTTAAGTTGGATACATAAATTTACTGGGACTTTCATGATTTCTTCTTGTTCTCATGATGCAATCGGTTTATTAATTTGTCTCCAACTTTTACATGCTTTGCTTCGTCTGGCTAAAGAGAGAGGGGTACCTGTGTTGGATAAGTAAGTTTTAAAGATTATGCATTTATTTTTTACCAGTTCTAAATCATTTTTTTCATTGTACGTTTTATGAAATTTCGCTGCCTTGATTCTCATATCACCTAATGTCAATGTGATAGTATTCTCTTATATTTAAATGGAGGTATCCATTTGCGAAACTGCGATCACTTTTAGGATATGCTAAGTGTATCTTTCAATCAATTATTTATTAAATATGAAGTATTAAAACTAAGGAATCAACAACTCTACTACGCAGCAGTCATTTATCTCATGAATTACTTCACTATTGATTATTTCATCCATTCCTGCCCATGTTGCTTTTCGAGATAATTAAGACTTGATCTTCGGATACACATTCCTGTAGTTTCGTTGGTTTCATTAGGTGTTGGTCTTGTGTGAATTTAAGGAACTAAGAAATTGTACACCTAATTAATAAATCAGTGCTCATTTTTACCGTTAAACTGTGAAGGTTTTGTTGTAGAAAAATATTCTCTTTTAATTTCGGGTGGACGCCGTTAGATACTGATATTACGGATATTGTTGGGAATAAATAAATGGAACAGCTTTTTTTTAAAATTTGAAATCATAATTAGTGGGGGGAAAATAAGATAAGCACTTTTGGTGTGAAATTCAGTTAATCAACTCTTTTGTAAAGTTTACATGAAAGCAAAGTTTGCTACCGAACGTTTTGTTTCAACTCATATCTAACCTCAGTTGGTGGTGGTTATCTCAAAAGATAGAAATGCTACAAAAACACGATGGATTATGTTTAGTCTTCCGATAGCATCCATTCTGGGTAGCCGTATGTAACAGTTGTAGAAGTAGGTGTCAATGCCAAGGTCAGACTTGATAGCTTCAAATGGATTGAGCGTTGGTTATCAACTTAATCACGAATATATTTTGTTGTACTATTTAAGCTTGTGTTAATTTTATTTCGGTTATTTATTTACTCTGAAGAAGTGACTTACATTAAGTCACGCAACACCAGAAAGACAATTTTCTACTCATTCGGATATCACGAAAAGTATATTTTGTATTAGTCGTAGACATTTTCACCGAGTTTCTTTTGGTAAGCAACTAGATAACTTTCACACTTCGTAAATGCTATGGGTTTGGTAATGTCAAATGGCGTATATCTTTCGATACCAAAAATTCAGCTTGAGTGGGAGTGCTTGTGTGTTCATATATGTTACCGGATTAACCTTCACTTGAAATGAGATGATAAGCAATGGGGACTATTAATCAAATTAATTACCCAAAAGCCTCTGAGGATAAGTATGTGAAAATTACATTCAAAATGTGGCAAAACATACCTAAATGATTCAGAGACGAAATATTTCTCTTTCGTTCACTATTCGAGTTAGTTCCACTTTGGACTAAAAGTGTCTAGGTTTTTGTTCGATCGAGTTCAGTAATGAAGGTATAATCCTAAAAACTAATGTAAACATTTGGCTTAATTTTTTGGATAATTTTTGAATGTTTTGTGTTTATCGATTCAAAATCGACACCAAAAACTGATTCCCGTAGAATAACTGACGTTTGTATTGTACATTTGATTTCTCTCAGATAATTGATTTTTATGTCATTTTGCTCATTTAATAGTTTTTGGTGTAAAATGACTGAGACTTTGTGGGTACGTGTTACTGATAGACTGGATGTACATATAGCATCCATGCTGCAATATTTGGATGTCAACAGTTTTAGTACAGATGCTCGTGATATTATGAAATCCAATTTATCCACCCTAAATATCAATACACCTGCAAACGCTACCGGAAATACTGCTGTCGGTTTACACCCTAAAGTATATGCTCTTATTCGTCCTCATTGGATAGCCAGACGTTATGCTGAATTAGCTGCTAGCCTACATTCAATCGGACATCAATTCCCTGGCAGTAAGTGTGCGCTTTATGATATTAATGTTATTAATACTCAGAAATTTAGTTTCTTTTATTCTTCAAACTTATCGTTTTGTTTACTTTGAAAATGTTTTGTTCTACCTTTTTTTCAGGAGTTAAGAGAAATCTTTACATAGGTGTTACAATAATAAAATCAGTGATAAAAATCGTTCCATTTTACGTCACTGTAGAACTTATTTCTCATCTCTCTCATTCTGTTTCAAATCTATTTCTAACCATGTAGCTACGGAGATGAGTTAAATGGCTCCCTGGAAAAAATTGTCAAAAAATACTTTACTTCCATAGAAATCTACTCACGGTGTTGAGCTCATAATTTCAATATTTATATCATACATCACAGGTTAAGGAGTTTAGTAGTATTGATGCTTTTAAGTAGAAGTGTAGTGAACAGAACACCGATGGAGACAATCGAATGTATTTGACAATAAATTACGGAACTTGTTTGTTAGTAAAATCTAACAACCATATAGTAAATGCTCAATTTGCAAAATGTCCATCAATTTTATCAAAATGACTGAGACTTCATTGTTCCTGCCTTTTCGTACAAATTGCATTCTGTTTTCATTCTTCACTGTTCGATCTTCTTGTCTCTCCGCTGCCAGACATTCTGTTCACGACCAACATCATATACTACTTATGTCTACATAAGTAGCACACACCACAGGTGTTATTTATAATTCCTTAATCAAACTGTTACTGACTTGTGGTATGTTACAAACTTAAATCTCTAATTGGACATTGTTCAAAGATATGTAGTGTTACGATAGAATACGAATGTACTAACTTGTAAACTTGTAAACTTGTTTTTAAATACGATTTAAGAAATGTTGATTATTATTCGACGATTTGTTTGTTATCTTTACATTTAGGACAAAAAAGGTAAACTAATAAAAACCAAATTATTGTCGATGTAGCTTTTCTACATTTGTTATTCGTTATAATGAAACGGAAACGTTAGCTATCAATACATATACTGGCTTGCTTAAACATTTGACCTGTTTATTTTCTAACCGTGCAAATGAACTGCTTATTTGTTCGAATTGAATAATCATAAATGGCAACTATACGTTCTCATACTGTACCATAAGAGGATTATAAGCTGTTGTCATACTAAGTACTGGAAAACTCAGACAGAAACACTACAGTCCTTGCTATATTTCTCTTTTTATCTATCCTTTGACAAATAAGACACAAATGTATTAGAAACAAACACCCTGTATATGTGGATGAGAAAATAGTTGTAGCACCTTTGCTGATTGAACAGGGTTGAAAGATACTATCTAAAACATTTTTAAAATGTGATTCGAACAATTGCAATTTGAATGTATGTTGAATAAATATTTGTCGTAACATGATACAATTGATTCTGAGAAATCTTTACTGTACCAAAACTTATAGTATTGACTATGACTATTATTATTAACTAGTTATCTAATTTCGGTGTCAACCGTTTCTATATACGTTTAACAGACCATATAATAATTTGTATAATCTAATCAATCATAAGTACGTTTCCAAATGTTGTGGATTAGTGGCTAAAAACCTTGACTTCAACCATTCGACCACATATCCAAACCCCTCTCTACTCATTTCAGCAATTCGCTAGTTGTCACAAAAAGTGAGCCTCATAGCTGAGCATATATATATATATATATATATATGATTTCAATTATTCTTGCATAGGTTATTCCTGTTATGACTTCTAGAAATGCATGAGTATGTGTCTGCTGTTTAAAAAAATTAATTGTAAATTTTTCTGTAAAATTTTACTTTACTCCACAGCTCCACTTTTTGATGACAGTATGAGTAAATCTAAAAGTTCAGAGAGTTCAAATTTACAATACTCTTTACATAATGAACCATCATTTCAACAAAACCTCGGAAATTTGAAGCCTGCTTTAGATCCTCGTATCCTTAGTCGTTTGGCTCAATTGCAAACTCAATTCGAACATGTACTGAATTCTCTAGCCAAAACATTTTCACGTCCAAAATTAGCACACATATTTCTAATCAACAATTATGATTTAGTTATAAGTGTACTAACTGTAAGTTTTATAGATGTGCATAAAACTTGAAATTATTGGTTCTTATCTATGTTCATTTGTTTCATTTGCTTGCTTGAACATTTTCTTTATTTATTGTGTAGGAACATGGAGCTGCTGATTCTTCCGAGGTTGTTCGATGTCGTGAAGCTGTAGCGAAGCATATGACATCATATATTGATGAAGCCTTGTCACCTTATTTTGGTTGTCTGATATCTTTTGTTCGCGATGTCGAAGCCAGATCAACTAGTGAAAGTCATCGTCTGTCGAAAAATCAAGATGAAGTGACCCAAAATATTCGTAGTGAGGAAGGTATTATACCGCCATTCATTGTTAAAATAACGTTATCTATGGTTATCGTGATATCTATGTACTTAAAAGGATCCTTCTGAATTCTAGATTTTCTTTCAACTTTCTTTATCAAATCTCTGTGAGACAAAATTTACCATCATAGGCTGTCTTAGATATTATTTTGCTCAACTGCATATAGAAACTAAAGTTGGCCGTTTAAAATCTTGGATCACTCTAGCTGTAAATAGGAGTATATTATTGTGTGTTTCTAATTTGCTACTCAAAGATTAAAAAATAATGATAGAGTAAACTATTATGTCTCCTAAATTACATCCATTTCTTATTCACTATTCTTTTTTGACCTCGTCATCAACTGCTAGAATGATTCTGTAATTATTATTAACATGAATGCAAATGAAGTCGTGAAGTGTAAATTGATGAAATTATTCAAATATTAAGGAACAGTCTGTAGATCCTAATAAATCTTGTTTTGTGTAGGGATTAACTCGTAAGTTTTCTTGTGCGTTCTTTACCATCCGATTTCTCTCACTTATATAGAAACACAGATATATGAAATTTGTGAGTAGAAGATGGAAGGGAAACACTATGAACATTCCACAACATAAGGACGTTTTGCTATGGAGGACGAACTCTTTCCACACTCGATAACATGATTACATATAAAAAAGTGTGGAGTGTTAAGGAATACGTTAGCAGCCTAACAGTACGGTGTCTGCAATTATATGATACATTTTTTGAAAAGAAACCTGTGTTTTCTATCCCTGCAACTTTCTTTAGTTGAAGAACAGTATTAGTTATCAAGTTTACATCGATGGTAATTGGTTTGTCGTCTTCATAGTCAAGTTATTGTAACAGTAGAAATATATTCGTGATGCTCAGTTATCAATTTTTATTTTGCATTCTTCAAAATAATCGTAAGCATTATGGTTTAAGGACACTATGATGTCATTTGACTTCATTCAGGTTGTTTTTTTCGAGACATAGTGAATGCTTATGTGTTTAACTTTATTGGGTTAAGTTACACAAAATACGTATCAAGATAATTACGTATGGAGTTTCATTTAGGTCCCAGTAATAAAATGTTATTCTAGGGTAATTACAGTGGATTATCTTGTTCGACATATTTCAATTGAAATAAACTTACTTTACTTCTGTAACTTAAGAGAAATAAAGTAATTCAATTTAAAAAAGTATTTTTTCTTCTTTGTTAAGGAACATAACAAAAATGTGACTGTCAATTTCTCGATAACGTATTTTAAAATAATCCTAGTCTACTACCAATCGTGGATTAATCTAGTTGTTATTTGACCTCGAAGCAGGCGGTTAACGTGGTTTGATGTCACAAAGCTACCTCTGTACAAGCCATATATTGTCTTCGGTCCTAAATGTTATCGTTCATGTTAATGTAGTATAACCGACCGATAAGTCTCCAGCTGAATGGTCACTTACTCCTGTTACCCATCGTGGAGAAAGAAAAATCGCCCACCTGCGTTCCCCATCAAACCCTGTCTTCGACAATCCTTTCCAGTTGTCTCCAGTTACTATTCTTCCTTCTCATGTCTGCTTCCAATTCCCGAAGCAGTGTGTTCTTTGGTCTTCCAATTTTCAGTTTCCCTTCACGATTCCAAGTAAGCGCTTGCCTCGTGATGCAGTTTGGGGATTTCCGTAATGTACATCCTATCCACTGCCAGAGTCTTTTCCTAATTTCCTTTTCAGATGGAAACTGATTTCTTCTCTACCGCAATAGTCTGTTACTGATAGTATCCGGTGAACGGATATTGAGTATCTTGCGTAGACAACTGTTTATAAATACTTGTACATGTTTGATGATGGTTGTAGTAGTTCTCCACGTTTCAGTTGTGTACAGCAAAACTGTCTTGACGTTCGTATTGAAGATTGTGACTTTGATATTGGTTGACAGTTGTTTTAAGTTCCGTATGTTCTTCAGCTGTAGGAATGTGACCCTTGATTCGCCAATCGTTGCATTTACGTCTTTATCGGATCCTCCCTGTTCATCGCAGATCTTTCCCAGGTACCTGAAGGATTCCACATCTTCCAGAGTTTCTCCATCAACTGTGATTGGGTTGTTGTTCTCCATGCTGTATTTGAGAATTTTGCTTTTTCTTTCGTACATGTTGACGCCTAGTGATGCAGAGGTTGCTGCTACACTAATTGTCTTCATCTGCATTTTTTGTGTGTATGAGATAGAAGAGCCATGTCATTTGCGAAGTCCAGCCAAATGATATCAATCAGTTATTTGGTTGAAGATTCATTCAGAAATATCTCTCATTATGCACCGTTGATATTTGAAATAGTGTTGTAGTTTACAGTAATTTGAATACTTGCGGATCTTTTAAAGACTGAATTATGAACTAGTTATGTTAGTATCTTATCAAAGCATATCTTGAAATACATATATTTTCTAATTATCACTATATAAAAGTGTCTTACAACCGAGAAAGGTAATGTATCACACTTAACAATACTTGAGTTATTTTTATTGCTGAACAATATGGTAAACAATGCGCTATGCTGATTTTGTGGTGCATAGTGATATTTTGTAGGTTTAGTTTGCAGTTATTTCATTTTATACCTTCACACCTCTATTTCTCATCAGCTCGGGTGACACGAATAGTGAAGGGCTTCAATATCGATTGGAAGAATTCGATCGAAAAGATACATGATGAAATCATGATGGAGTTTGCCAATTTTACCTTAGGGACACAAATATTTCAGGTTAGTGTTACTTTGTTTTGTGAGCCTACATTTATGACGAAGTTTATAATTCTCCCTTCTATTTTTGTTTGCATGTTTAATTTGAGTATCTTTAACTTATTTACATATGTAGCTGTATCATTTTATATCCCTATTTTGTGTATTCTTCCCAAAACTCCGCAAACATTTGAACATGTTTGATTATCCATCATATCCTTTTACCGTAATGTGTGCTTTCATTGTTGACTATTCATACACTTGGGTCAGTTGTATATTCAAAGCTTACTTTCTATGTATTGTGCAAATAATTTATACATATCAGTTCAGTTATTCCCTTAGCCATTTACAATAAGAAATCTCACTGCCTCATGAAATCTAGTTTTATTCTTGCAATTACCACTGTTGATTGATACTGGATATAAATTAATTATTCACATCAGGATGATGATCGCATTTTCGATTAGTAATAGATTTTGAATATATACTTTCTGTATTCGGTATAGTGTTAGAATCCCAGGAATCTGCGAAAATTCAAACATTCGTCTGTTGCTGCAAATTGTATATACTCTCTTTACAGGGTTTTCGTGAAAAAACAATCGGCACTCACAGTGATTGTTGGCTTTGTCGGAAATCTGCATCCATTCAACCTACTCGTTTAATGAACTGTAAATCCTATAATGTTATCATTTAGTTATGATCGCATAAGCTACAAGCTTCTGTAGCCCATCTGTTAAACATAATTAATGCAGTTTGGTATATAAACGATTGTTTCTCACCTGGATCATTTGTTTATTTGGAACCTATCTGTTGGTAGCGTTGGTCACACTAGTACTACGTGTCGCTGCTGTGAGATAAACACCTATTTAATTATTTTTATTGATCGTACCGTTTTTCATATTGGTCAGTAACTTTGATAAAATCCACGGTACATGCAAGTGAAAACTGACTACGGAATTTCAATATCCCTTTTAAAATGTCTCAACCATAAAATCTTATTATGTTTGCTATCAATAAATTTACTCTTTTTATAGGGTTTACTTGCTCAGCTTATTCAACATTACCATCGTTTTCAAAAAGTGATGACACAAAGTCCCTACAAAAATATGCCTATACGTAATCAATTGGTAAATATACATCAGATTACAAATGAAATGAAAAAATGTAAAACAAACTTTTCTTAAAGTTAATTGAATACATCTTGCATAACATTGTCGTCGTCATCATCATCATTTTGTTAAACATTTCAAATCATTCCATTTTGTCGTTTTGGTTCTTTTTTGTTGGATTGTATTTTAGTTATTTTGTTCTTTACCTATGTATAAAGTGTTCTTTTTGCTACTACAATGATTTAGTTGTTGATGTTTACGACTGACGGGTCTTTATTTCCCAAACCCTATTCTCAAAGTATGTATTCATGTGTTCTTTCCTTTTTCATCAGTATTTTTATTTTGGAATAGTAGTTTTTAATTTCTGCTTTGTTATTTATCCTTGCTCTATATTTCCACTTATCTTGCTTTGCCCTATTATGTGTTTTTTAACTGTGGTTGTGTTAGTGTGGTATTTTTTGTTTAAAAAAATGAACCAATGGTTCAGCTGCTTGGTGTATTTCATATTGTGTACCAAATTAATGAGTATTACATGGGATTACAATTATAGCTTAGGAGTAAGTAGTGTATGTAGGTTTCGGACTAACAAATTGTGTTGTAACATGAGGTTTCACAAAATTTCTTAAGTCACATGAAACATTCCAAAAAGTCCTACAACACTGTCCGATGTTGTTATCTTACTTAATTACACTAGCTTTCATCGAAATGTTTTATGACAGGCGCTTTGGTTTCCACATTAATTTACATTTTTTCTGTCCAATTTAACGGAAAATTTGTTAAATCAAAAGTACACGATCCACACATTGAACTCGGACAAAGGACCTTCGCTCTCGCGTAAAAACACTTAACCTCTAGACTACTGAGTCGGTATCCAACAGTGTTAATGTCTAGCTTCGATCGATCCATGGTCTTGCGGAACCCTTAATCCATTGCCGTCTAGTGCTTCCAGCTTTTCAATAGTGGTCTACCTTACATCAACTCGTAATTACAATTGCGAAAATACTACAACCTCTACGAATTCCCATACTGGTAATTAAGATTAACTAATAATAAAACGAGAGCGTTAAGAACTTCAATGGTTTCATTGGTCTGTCGGAGTGACGATGTCTCAACAAGTGTTATGTTCTGTATACCCTTTTCTAGAATGATTCACTGTTATGATTGATAACGCATACTAATTTACTGTGTTGGTGAAAGTAAATTGCTTTGCATGAGAACAGATAGAATCGACTGTTTTTGTCAAAGTTGATGATCATACACATATCATAAATTGAGTCTCAAGAACCAAGAGAAACTGACAGATGAGGCAAAGTGATAAATCTTCTCATAATTTACATAGTAGCCTTAGCTTTGTACTAAACACTTCAACTTTCCAAATAAATAGTATGATATGAACACAATTTCCAACACAGTTAATATCTATAGAACAATGAGAAGACGGAGTTGATCAGAAGCAGAAACGTACAATCAAAAATTTCAGATTATAATAAATAGCTGCAAAACATTAACTATGTAGCTTATTATAAATCTTTAATTCAATAATATAGAGTTATTCATTTCGTTTTAATAATTATTTAAATAGGAGGATGTATCATATTTTACAATTATTTGTTTGTATAAATTTATTCTGATACCATAAATAGTGTAACGAGTGGGCATTTTATCAAAGTCACCATATTATTAATACTAAAGTTAATATATATCAGTTAAGGTAAAACTATTTCACAAATAAGTATAAACGATTTGTATGGACTTATGTCTTCACTTAATTTGATCATCAATTTATAAGTTTTCTACTATTCAGTCAAATAAGATTGATTTTATGAGTATGAACATTACGATAATGTGAACTAGGTTCAAGTTCAAAGAAATATTAAACAATACTGAATTAAAAAATCAAGAAATAATTGTGTCACATTTAAATTTTCCTGAATGTAGATTTAATTTCATTAAACAAATGTCTATTAGCTATTTTAATATAAAACCATATTTACAATGTGAAAAATTCCCTGCGATTATAATATGCAGACGAGTCAACAACGAAGTTTTGTTCTCTGAACTAGAATGGTTTGGTCGTGGAGCTTTTATTGTTCTTCTGAACGACATCGTCAGCACAAACTTCAGATAGAAGTGAAGTGTTCGAATTTCTTTACATATGACTCACAGCTTGTCCTGTGAACCCCGATCTTAATTGGCTTTGTTGATCTGTAAGCTGTCATCGTTCATTTTTTTATTTTGATTGTATCCTCCATTGATTTGACTATTGGTCCTATATTTGTCCATGATTTATCTGATTGGTTGATAGATTTCATCGGTTTCAATATGTTTTTTGATTGCTGATTGACCTGAGTCTCAAATTCCTAAAAATTCTCCGGTGTTTTTAGTATTCCATCTATCCAAGATCTCAACAATGATACAGAGACTAGAAGCATCAATTTTACCAGCGATCAAGCCAAAAATTAGTTGTTGTGTGAACGACATATTTGTCAATGTTAAAAAGGGCGAGCTGGAGAACATCTAGAATCTGACCGACAACTTCAATGACGTAAAGTTCACAATGGAGCAGAAGTCAAACAATGGACTATCATTCTTGGATGTACTAATCACTAGAACCAACACAGGAAAACTGGAGACTCAAGTGTATCGGAAGCTCCACGACCAAACTATCTAGCTCAGAGAACAAAACACAGCTGTTTATACTGATATTTTCGTGCTATGAGTAGTGAAAACACAAACACTGCTGATATAGATTTATTTAACTTTAGAAAGAAATCAAACTGATACCAGAACACACTAACTCATATATGATTAATTTTACAGTCAGACTAACAATCAGATTAGTATAATTTGAACTGAGAAGTGTTGCAACACTGAATATTGCTTAACTGAGAGTAAAATGTGCCAAATAGGTATTCATGCTCCACTTTTGTGATTAATATTCAATATTGATCAGATTGTAATAATACAATACAATCGGAAAACATTTCACTGAGATCTGTTATTCGATCAATCAGGAACTGTTTTGGTGTTACATTTCTGAATGAGATCCACAGAATGTCATACTTATTCCTCATTGTTAACAGTATTATCAGTAGTTGTTATGTGATTATCGACCAATTTATTCGTTGATACTACCAACAGAGGATTAATCGATCCGATCCAAATGTATTCAACATATGAATAGAGTAATCTCATTCTTTATACTCTCACTAGCCTTCATCTAATAATCTTTACATTTATTCAAATTTCAATTGTTATTAGGATTATTAACTAATATAATTGTTAACTACTTGATGAGTTTACGAAATCTATTTACTCCATAAATATCCAAGACATCGTTTACCACACAAAAACATTTTTACATCACATTTATTTGTTTGTAGAAAGTTGTTTAAATATGGCAAATGGAAAGAGTGAGGTTGAATATGAGGGGAGTGAATATTAATAGTTCATGTGTATGAATTGTTTGAATAATATTTTATTGTAAATTTGTTCAACATCAACTATTTGTTTACATGCTTAATTGACAATTGTTATCAATTTGTTCTTAATTATTTGAGTAAAGAGAACTAGGGTGAGACTTCGCCTTCATTTTCGTAATATGTCTTGTTACTTTAATGTAGATGTATGTGTATGAACTCAAATGTGCATGTACATGATGTATAATAATAGTGAATAAGTTTGTGATCAATAGTGGTCTGCATGCATGTATATATATATATATATATATATATATATATATATATATATATATATATATATATATGAATTTATTTATCCATGTATATTGTTGATAGAAATGGGATGTAAGAGAGGATAGCTAAACTTGTTTCATTTAATATAAAGGATTATTGCGTGCAGTTGATCAATGTTACATGTTTCTTATTCATTATTCAGTAATTCAGAGAATTTGCAATATATGTTAGTGATGTTATGAAAGAAAGAATGATTGAAAGTCAAAGTAAACTCTATCTTAAGAAAGTTATTTTGATAAGTGTATATATGCGGTTAGTAAATAGAAAATCTGTGTATTTGAAGTATATTACCGAAATAAGGTAAAAGATATTAGCCATTGTTCCCGGTAATATTTATTTGCGACTTTGTGATGTTAAATCAGTTTCTACTTCTAATGCAATGGTTATTCGTACATTTTATTTCTGAAACCTAATTGAAATGACATTTTCAAAAGAGCAAAATTTAGTATGTGTGCAAGCAGCTCAGAAGGATACTTCAAAGATGTATTTGCATATTAATTTATAGAATAACTGATGTTAAATACTACTCAGTTAAAATTATACAAATCTGATTGTTAGTCTGACTGTAAAACTAATCATATATGAGTTAGTGTATTCTGGTATCAGTTTGATTTCTTTCTCAAGTTAAATAAATCTATATCAGCAGTTTTTGTGTTCTCAGAACACAAAGTCATTTTCGGTGTTTCAGTTCCGGGCCTAAATCAATTAAGCTCTTGTAAACATAGTAGTGTAATCATCGCTGTAATATTATTACCAATCTACTGTTAGTACCTGAAAGCTTCTTCATGTCTCTTTTTGTCGCCTAATTGATGTAAAGCGAAGAATGTAGAGAGATGTTTCTGCAGCTGAAACATTTCCAAGTTGTAGAATCCTGTTTGAGTGTTATATTTTGTTACCGAATTCCGATGATGTGACTTATGTAGATATATTTATTTATGGATATTCACTTTATTTATTTAGTGATTCTTCAAACGGATGTTATTGTAGAATAGTGTTAGAGATGAATCAATTCAAACCACTATTAAATCATTGTTTCTGAGATACATGAAACATGTTAACTGAAGAGTTATTCCATCATGAAATATTATTTGGTTGGAAACTCACCCTTGAGTGTTCAGTATATGATATTTTGGTCTGATCTTCTTAATTTCCATCCCTCAGAGTAGGAGATACCATCTCAGGTAGTGCTAGCTATTATCATGCATACAAAAGAATGTTGCGGGATAATATGACCAGAAGTTGATTAGACATACTACATGTTTAGACTTAATACATCTGACTATTGTGTCAACCTGCATACTAATGTATGAATTTTATGAATGATTTTTGTATGAATTGTGGAATTTCTATCCCTCATCTTCTTGGCATCACTCCATTAATCACTCTATGGTTTGCGGCTGGTCTTCATAAATTATTCATTAAAATCACTACTCTTAGTTTAAACAGCTTAATATCAGAAGGCATAAATTTTTTTGCCATTTGAAGATTCGTATATTTTTGTTTCAAAATAGAAATCCATCACTTTTAATTCTCAGCTTTTCAGTCACAATTTCATATGTTTTTTATTTCTACAATGGTATACTCAAATTAATGATATTTCTAGGAAAGAATCATGTTTCGAATTATATATTCATTTCATATCTCCTATCTGAATGAAACATGAGTATTTCTGAATATAATCAAGCTAGACATTGATAACCATACTGATCTTCTGTATTAGGAATGAAGCTTATTATAAAACTGTATTTATTAATTTTGTAACATTGAAGTACATGTCATATTAAAAACCTTAATTTTATGAATTGTATATAAGAAAGTAGTGAAGTGTTGAACTACATTTTCTTAAAACGTCCAAAAGTATTTTTCCAACCTAAAGTTTAAATAATATGTTCACATGAATATCCTTGTAACATTTAAGTGAAGTTCACAAAAATTAATGTTTTTAGTTCGTACTATGCAATCTTCTACGTATTGAATAAATTAACAAACTGTTTCAATGAAATGTACAAGTGAAAAAGAAATTATCAAAGAAAATGTTTGGACTTTCATTGAAAAACAAAACGTTTTATCAAATGTTAAATTCTAGACGTTAGTAATAATACGTGGTTCTTTTTAATAATATAACGAAAATTCCAATCTTCATTGTATTAAGAATACCTATTACTGATAGTTGTCATAAATTACTTGCAATGTAACATACGATAAATATCATACACATAGTTCCCTTTATTATCCTAAAGAGAGTACGAACGAAGATTGATGGTGAATTATGTGGATTCATTTTATTTTGTTAGGTTCTCATCAGTTACTTACAACCTATAATATTTTATGATCAACGTTATTACAGATATATGTATAAGTATGTCATTATCTGTAATAACATTGATTTTAAAAGATTATAGGTTGTAAGCAGCTGATTTCATATTATTCGTCATCAATCTTTGATCTTGCTCTCTTTAAAATACAATAAATATAATAGAGTACAGAAATAATCTCGTCTTAGTTTGGATCATTAAAATGTATATCTCATAGTTTCAAAACAATTCAACTTTAAATGTTTCTTTCGTTGATGTTTCTCAGTTTTGTTCCAGTAGTTTTTTCTATAGTATTTTAATGACGATTAGTGAATGAGTAACTGGATTATATATGCTCATGTTTTTTCTAACTAAGAGTTTTGTTCATGATTGTATCAATTCATGTTCCTTTGAAAAACATTTTATCAAACTATGTGCCAGCTAACAGAATGACTACATTTTACTTTGCATAGCTGTTTATCAACGTTCAACCAATATCAAAGTCACAATCTTCAATACGAACGTCAAGACAGTTTTGCTGTACACAACTGAAACGTGGAGAACTACTACAACCATCATCAAACATGTACAAGTATTTATAAACAGTTGTCTACGCAAGATACTCAATATCCGTTCACCGGATACTATCAGTAACAGACTATTGCGGTAGAGAAGAAATCAGTTTCCATCTGAAAAGGAAATTAGGAAAAGACTCTGGCAGTGGATAGGATGTACATTACGGAAATCCCCAAACTGCATCACGAGGCAAGCGCTTACTTGGAATCGTGAAGGGAAACTGAAAATTGGAAGACCAAAGAACACACTGCTTCGGGAATTGGAAGCAGACATGAGAAGGAAGAATAGTAACTGGAGACAACTGGAAAGGATTGTCGAAGACAGGGTTTGATGGGGAACGCAGGTGGGCGATTTTTCCTTCTCCACGATGGGTAACAGGAGTAAGTAAGATTAAGTGAACTGCTTATCAAGTAGTTGGTGTAAGACCAAAGTTCATCACACTTGAAATAAATGAGTATATTCGGAAATACTTCGTATGCTATATAATCCAAGAAATTTTACCTAACTTAACCAGAGTGAATAGATCTAATTCTCTTGAAAAAAAGATACTGACTAGTCACATTTGCAATTAAAACTAATCAGTCATTCATCGTTGTTTGACAAATTGGTTATTCACTGAATTTTTCATTAGGTTTATTTTAAAAACGTTAGTTTATTGTTTGTCACTGTCATGATTTTTAAATAACTAAATTCAGTACTTGTCTACTTTATCTACAAATAATTAATCATTGGTATTCGAAAACGTATTGAAATGAGGGGAAACAGCTGAAAATAAAATTATTATTATTATTATGATTATCATCTAAAAAGAATGATTTATGGTAAGAAACAAATCAAAATAGAAGGTTCATTACAAAATACTAACATGATATGTTATTCACTGGATACTAATGTTTTTGAATTAAGTGTTTTAAGAATTTTTTGTTCTTAATATTACCTTTAGATTACTTCATAATCACTCTTTTCCATCTTTACACATCAAAACGAATATCTTAATTTCCCGATAAAGTTTTATTCGCACAAAATGCATTATTTATAATAAAATCGTTAATTTTCGATAAAGAACTGTCAGTTGTTTTTCCATGACAATTGTATAAATTATGTTAACGCTTTTCAGTTAGACTCAACCAAATTTTATGGTAAAATTGGTTGGTTTAATGTTCATATAAATAAGCATCAAACCAAATGTTAGCTAGATAAGAATCAGGAATAAACTAATCATCGTTTAGTAAATCGCTTGACTTTATTACTTAATAAAGAAAACGTAATAAATCCTTCAATTTCTAAAAAAATGGCAATATATCAAGGCTCAAGTGTGCCAAACAGATAAGTTAACATATCAGTAGACTAGGATTTAAATACAATAATCTTGACTCTAATAAGTACTTTTGATACATGTAAATTAACGAAATATTCTCATGGTATGACATCGTATGTCCTAGCGTAAGAGAGAAACAAGAATGAAGCTAATGAAGGATCATTAATTGATTAATTATTCATCTATATTTTATGATGACAATTAAAAAGGAATTTTATTGATCGTTTTCTGTTTATCAGTTGGTCCACATTTCAGTCTACTGTTTTTCTCTCTAGTTCAGTACTAGTGATTATTATTCAGCCAGCAGTTATTAAATGGTATAATAGTAGACATGATTTTTTTTCGTAAACATTGGTCGTATTAACTAGTCATGTCCATAAAAATGCACTGCTTTTTCTAATCGGATAAATTTTGCAATTTTCCTTCTTACCGTTAGATTATTTTGTTTGGTACATTGATATCTATATACTTTATACGTTTGCTCTTTTGAGTCAGTGTCTAAAAAACATCGTATTTAAAACTTCTCAATGCTAAATTTATGATTTGGTGTAATGTAGTGAAGATATATTCAATAGTTTATTTGTATATGGTAAATGCTATATTTTCAACATAAAGGATTTGTGCACTAGCCTTTATGAATTTGTCTTGTGACCAAAAAAACAAGAGTCAATATAAATGTATTTTTATATGAAAAAATCTGTTCGTACATTTTAAATTGTTTCAAAGCGAACGTGATTATCAGTTAACCTAATTTGTAATGATCTTAGTGATTCCGTTGTTGATATTTTGATTTAATTTTGATCAGTCATGGCTAGACTATGTGCATCTTGTGAGAATCGCTTCAATGTAGCCATTATTTCAAATATTTGTCTAGAATAGACGGAGTATGGTTAGCAGTGAAATGTAGGACGCGTGCTTATGTCTATATTGGACTCTTCGTGTAGGTAAGCTTGCATCCCAGAGTTCATGTACACCCTAGCATTTGGACCCAGTACCTTTAGTTTCAAAATCAACGCGTTATCCACTTAGCTATCAGTACAAGTTCCACAACTGAGTGGCTATCTGGACTGAGTTAATGAAGAGTTCATATTTCATGTTAACTACAAAAAGGAAATGTTTATAAATGATATCATTTATATGAACACTACTGTAAGGTGACCTAAACGTATACCTAATTAAGCTATCCCGTACCAATAAAAGTTGATCGCCTCTTGTTCAGGCTCTTTCTTGTTTCTTTGTCTTTACTTGAATAATGATTATATCTGATAATTGGACAACTGTTATGACTTTCAAATAAATAAGTTAATATAGTTTTTAATCCAATATAATTTTGTAATAATGTCTTTATTTATGGGTTTAGAACTTTGCTCAACTGTTTTGGTGATACGTTTAAGCAAATGCATTTATTAGCAAAGATGGATGTTGGCTAGCAGTGGAATCCAGGACACGCGTCTCGTTCTATTTGAGGCTCGTCAGCTGGGTGTACCTGCATCCCAGAGTTGATCTTCATTCCAGAGCTCGAACTCAATACTGTTCACTTCAAACGCAATCGCGTTATCTACTTGGCTGATCAATCTCAGTCCTGAACAACAATGGGAAGATGGAAGTAAAACAACACCAAGTGAATTAAATGTATTTATTCTTTTCAGATTTTTTCTTGAAATGCGAGAATCATAAACTTGCATTTACCAAAACAATTACGGAAGACATTGTTTGTATGAAATCATTCAAAAGTTCTCAAATACAAATTTTTATGCTAAATCTGAAATACAACAATATTATATTATTGAGATAAAATTACTTTTAACACTTATGTTCCTGAACATAAGTAGATTTATTTTAATCTTTAACGCTGATGCTAAAACTTAAAAATTAAATATAATATACATCACTATCTTACTTCAGCTAGTTAACCATTAAAAATCAGGAAGCAATGAACGATTGTTTTATTTATGGACTAGTCTTGAACTAGTCTTAAACTTTATATTTTTAAATTTAACTTGCTATGTTCAGTGTATTTCATCCAGTATGTCGACGATATTTATGTCATTCGACTCGACTACAATGAAGTTTTTCTCCATATATTCTTTCTAGAAGTTAGGCAGTTCTTCTTATATAGGTCACGATCAGCCTTCAGGTAATTACAAAATTTTAAGAATTAAATACTTCAGTGATTCGGGAAGACAGAGGTTTACCAATTAGATGGTAACCATTACAGACGTTCAGGCCTTAAGGTACAGCATATAATATATATTCTGGAAATGAGTTTGTAGTAAGAATTAGATTTCATAACTTGTTCTTAATTTCATAGACTTGTAGATTACCTATAAGATGGATCCTGCTATGAACTATATTTCATTTCATATACATTCATGCTCAGTTCCTTGTTAAATATTTTTAAGCATAAATATGCGTTGTTCCTTGTAAGAATGACTAGCTTTTCTGATAAGTTATCCTGCTTTTTCTATCCGTTCGATGGTAATATTGAGCAGTTAATTTAGTTTTTGTAAGTAATTGCTTAATGATTACTTTGTTAGTGTATATTATTAACTAGTTGTATGATCTATACATGAATACTACTGTCGGTCAATTAAAGTAGAGACCATAAAGTATATTTTGATGACATCGATATGTAGCCAACTTCATTGTGAACATAAACGGTAAAACTGTTTTAAAATGGAAGTATGTGGATTGGTCAACAAATTTACTGTCACTTAATAAGTGAAATTGAATTAAAACAGCTAAAAAGTATGATAAATTTATGTTACCATACAACCAAGCTTTTAATATAAGTCTAAACTAATATATGCCTAATTAAAAGCTTAACTACCCAAACAGAGCAATCAAATCGATTTCTTAATTCACCACGATCAACCAAAGGAAAATGTAATGGACAGTTTAGAATTCTGTTGTCTAATTTGATCAACATCAAATAATGTGTCAGTATTGATAATTTTCATGCAACTTGAGCTACTTTGAAATAATATCCGTCCGTTTATTAGTTATATTTAATTTCTAAAATATTTCTATAATCTTGATTATATTATACACCACTACTTTATTTTCACTGACTTTTCACATCCGATACTTGAATAAGTCTGACTATTTTTATTGATTTTATAACACATATCTATTTTACTGTAGATTACAAATTGTAAAAAACTACCTAATATATACAGTTGTACAGCTTAAGAAAAGGATATCGATGAAAAGAAAATTACCTCTGTTGAAACGTTTTTATTTTTTTAGTAAACCTAAAGGCTCCTTTCAACTTTCGAATTATCTATAAAAAATCCAGGTACTCTGCTTCTTAATTTTCAAACATCTACTACATACTGTTGAAGCTATCGATATCCAACCTGACAAAAAAAGTATTTTAATTCAAAAGAAAATTTACTTGATTAATCCTAATACTTTTGCGATTGATGTATTTTAAATGTTTTCATAAATAACAGAGTGATTTTCAACTTACTTGTCATTCTTATCCTATGTTCTTAATTATATATGTCGTTGTTATTCTCTCTGATTGTGCACAATCATGTGTAAAAGTGTGATCATTGTATGAGATGTTTCAGTTTTTATACCGGTTATTATGCAATGTCATCTGTAATACTATATATTGTAATTTAATTATTATATCAAAACCATTATATTCAGACTATTCTACTTTAAGAATTAAATCTCCTCTTTGATCACTCATTGTGACCATTTTAGATGAATAAGAATTTATAATGCTATTAATTTATTCACCATTAATTAATTGCTATTTATTTTCTATTGCTATTAGCTAATAGACTTATAAAACGGTATACCTGATACATATACTATTGAGAATATGAATTCATGTGACATTAAGATTCTTTTTTTTGCAGTTTTACGGCAATTAATTTTATTCTTAAAACAGAAAATTAATTAAAGAATATTTTGTTCATTATTTATAATCCTTTTCCTTTAATGAAATAACTTTATTAAAGTTGCTTAAAAGCAAAACAACTGAAGGGGTAAAATGCATTTTTCGGGTAACTTCATATGAGTTATATAATTAGTAATGAAAGAAATAACACTCATAAACCAATAAATTACTTAAAAGTATCATAAATTGTTTAATGTGTATGATATTTAAATGATTATTGATAAATAGCTTAGATTAAAACAGCTAATTGGAAGCAAAGCGCATTGTATACAAATGTGTGAGCAAAATGTGGTCAACATTTTGTCCTTATTATTAATAACAAGGTAAATTTTTAATCCTTACTAGTGAAGAAACAATGGAAGAGTATGAATTAAGAAAGATATTCAAACATTAAGTTGAATATAGTCACTATTCAAATTATTATTTCATAAATAACTTAAAATTATTGTGAACTTGGCAGGCTGTATAGTAACTAATAAGCATGTTGAGAAGTCGTATTGTATGGTTGATTGCCGTTTAGTGATTACAAAAATTATAAAGAAATAAATATTAACGATATTTCACAAATTGAAATCATGAGTCAATTGAAGCTAGACCACCGTGGAAAACCTGGAAGCATTGGACGGCCGTTTCATCCTGGTACGGGACTCCTCAGCAGTGCGCATCCACGATCCCGCCTTGCGGGATTCAAACACATGACTTATCAGTCTCGCTTAACCATGAGACCACTGAGCCGGCATCCGACGGTATTAATGTCTGACTTCAACCTATCCATGAGCCACCGTACACCATTGTCTTCAGTGAGCTGATACCTCACAACAGACCTGGCTGAACTCCACTGGTAACGGCTTCTCACTAGAACTTCAGGAAATGCGAGACTGATAGGTCCTGGGTTCGAATCTCGCGGGGAGCGAGATCGTGGATGCGCACTGCTGAGGAGTCCCATAATACGAGGAAACGACTGTACAGTGCTTTCAAGTTTTCCATGGTGGTCTAGCTTTGATCGACTCATGATTTCAACTAGTGAAATTTCTAAAATCTCCACAAAACCCTTTCAGATAAAATTAACGATATTATTGAGCGATAAGGAGGTAACAGGTTTTTGTTACATTATGCTATGCTTTTCTAATCTATATAGTATCCGAAGACAGTAACAGAAGGCTAGTTGCAAATTAAGATTTCATTATGTTTCTCTACAAAATACTTTGATTATAAGTTTTATATAACTAGAATCTATATATCGTTTATGAATTTGGTTTGAAACTTTTTTATCACGATCGATTGATAATAACTCGGAAATAACCAGGAACCAGGAGGTATTAGATATAAGAACTTATAAGAAGTGTGCTTTTGGGATCTCACCAGGGGTTAAGACGGTTGGTCAATCTTCTCTAGTTTTCGATAGTTTCTCAGTTCATATGCATTCATGGCAAAAGTCGACTTCTGTCAGCTTCTATTTGATGTAAAATAAAGTACGAGAACGTATAAACCGCTATCTAGGACTGAATCAAGTTCAATGGGTTATCGAATTATACTAACATCCTATTATTATTGTAACACTATCTTTTGAATATAAAGTATAATGATTGAAAGATGTCTTCCTTTTCCTGATTTTGGAATTCCAACTTAACAATTGAATTTTTAATTGGAGGTAAAGAATTGTGTATCTATAAGGATGTGTATAGTTTAAGTCAAATGATAAAACTTTCTTATAAACACAGATTTTAAATCACAACTATACAGTTTATGTTATCACACATAACTGAGGCCAATACAAAATGAACTACAGTAATAAATCATATTAAGGTATTCAAACTTTTCAAGTAGTGAGGTAACGTTATGGCAGTGAGTTAAAACTAAAAGAGATATGTTTCCAACTTAAGATAATTCATAAGTGTGTAATTTTCATTAAAGTGACTATTAGAAAATTCATAAAACCAATTTAGAATGTTGAACATAATAAAAGAAACTGTCTTATATTCACAAAAATATTGGTTATACTTATTTCATATTCTTTTTAACTTCAATTGTGATATACACTTTAATATGTCATTCAATCTCGAGGCTTTTAAACTACTATTACTAGGATTGATCACGAAAATATCGATTTTTCTTAAACTTGTCTCAAACCCTGATATTTAAAAATTGTGTAACAAAGGAGCCAGTAAGTAATTCATTAAAAAGATCCAGATAAATAATTGTTTTTTTTTTTCTATAATAACAGCATCGAAACAAAACTATTTATTGACTTAATATTTAAACTGAACAGTTTTATTTGAATGAATTCTAAATCCGATTCAGATGAACAAAGCATTTCAGTAACCACATAAGAGTGAATGTATTAAATTGTAAGTAATATTTGATACTAAAAGTCCAATTCTTCTTCGGTTACGCTAAGCTAAACAGGTCAAGCGAAATCAAAAGTTTAACATACAAATTTCGAAAAGAATCACCAGGTTAATTAGCATTGATTTACAAACATAATAATATGTTTGAATAAACTCGTGATAGTTTTAATGAATTGTTTATACAAATACTAAAGGATTCCGAATAAACAAACCAGCCATAGAATAAGTGAACATAACAAGTAGATTACTGAACTTGAAATTTTACAGAAATGTTTTCGTATATCGTACTGACTTTCTTACTCTTGAAGTCAGTAAAATATATAATTCAATAGATGAGCCATTCTTCTAAATAAGAATATCATGACTACCTGACTTTTCGTTCATATTTCTTTCAGATGAATGTGTTTTGCAACTTAATCAGTTCTTCTTCATATAATCACAAAATAATGACAATTTTATGATTGACTAATACGTCAAATCAACTAAAGTTATCAGTTTCACTTCGTATAATGTGCTTCAGTTAAACTTTGACTAAAAAAGTACTTACATAACAAATATCTATCCAATATTTGTCAAAAATTATGCACCTACTAAATGGCCATTGAAGTTCATATTATCTGTCTCTAAAACATCATCTTAAAATAATGTCAACAGTATTTTTGTTAACGTTATTAGTTATGTGGCCAAAGCGATAAAACTAGTTTGAATAGAGTTCTATTACTAATTTTAATTAATATGACAAGAAGCTTTTGACTCATTTCATTCACACTGTAATCTTATATTAAGTTAAGTATTACTTGTTTCTTTTGGTTGCACATATCTATTAGAAGTTACAAAATCTTTTGTTGTTGCTATTCACCTTATATGACCTAATATTAAATTATATTTATTACATCAACATTTCTATTCATTTTCATATTTTTACACAAAATTAATCCCTGAAATTTCATGTGTGTACAGCTTGATAATATATTTGTTGAAAAAAGAATCAGTATAGTGGTTGTGGAGGTTATTAGGTTTTCGATTGAAATCATGAGTCGATTGATGTTAGACCACCGTTGAAAACTTGGAAACACTCAACGGCCGTTTCGTCCTATTTTGAGACTATTCAGCAGTGCGCATCCACGATCCCGCTTGCGGAACTTGAACCTAGGGCCTTCAGTCTCGCGCTCGAGTGCTTAACCTACTGAACCAATGAGCCGGCACCCAATGGCTCACGAGACTGAAGGCCTTGGGTTCAAATTCCGCAAGCGGGATTGTGGATGCGCACCGCTGAGTAGTCCCAAAATAGGACGAAACGGCCGTCGAGTGCTTTCAAGTTTTCAACGGTGGTCTAACACCAATCGATTCATGATCTCAATCAAAAACAAAAAGGAATCCTTTCGGTGAATTTAATTTTTTAATGTTTTAATTAGAACTAATTATCGGTTTGCCCAAATGACAATTTACTTTTGTCGTCATCTGCATAGGGATTCATCATTTATCGAATAAGTATCAAAGCCTTAACAATTAATTTATGTCATTCACGTAACAGTCACTGGAGAAATGTAAAACAAATTTACCATACAAAGTAAATTAGAGTTTTAATTGAATATGTTGCCAGAATATTGATATTACCAGAAAAAGTTACGCTTTATAAATGTTTACGTACATAAGTTCGATTGAAGGTATTATGGTAACACCAAAAGTACAGTAACATTATTGACAATGTAAAATATTTGCTTGTAAAAATGTATAATTATTAATAAAAGAATCTCATCAAACATTTTAAGACATATTTAATCAATTGTCATCGTCAACTGATAATTATAAGCAAAACACCCTAGATAGAACCTTTGGTAATAGCTAGCAGTTAGATTTAAGTGATATTTAGTGACCCGATATCTGACTCCACTTATATCTTATTATGATTGTTACTGAAATATACACATCGCCAATCTAAATATCTAATCATCGACTTAAATAGCGTTAGTGAATAATGTCATTAAATAAGTCAAATACGAGGATAAAGTTCTGAATACATATATTTTGTACAACCGTTGATTAGAACAGACAATCAGAGAGATAGAGTGAAGGAAGAAAAGAGGAGAGAGTGAGGCGAAACAGATTGGAGAAAGCATGTTTAATCAAGTGAATCGATATTTATAGCCACCCAAAAATAAGTTACAGACATGTGATAAGCAGGATCGGAAATGAACACACATACACTTACATAAAAGCAGTCAAGGTTCATAAACGAATAAGTGAGGTCAAAATGTAACTCAAAATGAATGAACAAATTGGCTTGTAGGGAAGCTAGAATAAACTATGTAGGCTTGACATAGCATCCGATACTACAAATATATTTTATTCCAGCCCAACCTAACCATTCGGATATAATCGTTACTATTCTATAGAAACTGAAATCTAGATTTAGTCAATTTCAAAGCCGAAATATGATCAATTACATTATTGACATACAATAGACTTATTTTGTTCTACCGCTAAGTATATATATATATATATATATATATATATATATATATATATCAATTGCTTTTATCCTAACTTTAGTTAACAGAATTGAATTGTCAAGTACACATGTTGAAGAACAATGAGTAGATGATGATAGTAAACAAATGTAATTATTTTACAATTGTGAACAATGCAACAATGTACGCGCCAACAAC